TTATGCTTGCACGACTAAGCATTAAAATTCAACAGTGACCTATTTATCATGATTTCTCTCTGTGCATGTGTGAAGAAATTTTTGATCATAAATAAGAATATCCACTTTGTAGTTAGATGTTTCACTGTTACAATCATTCATGTATTATTATCATTATTATTCTTATTAGTGTTATTCAGTTTCTGTGGCTATATCTTTTATAGTTTGGATTGTAAGGATTAGTTTCGTTCTCAAGAGTTGATCACGGATTGATATCAGTTAGAGAAGCATTGAAAACCACCAGGGACTTCTGGACAGCTGTTTCATCCTAGTTTGGGATTCATCGGAAGTACGCATCCATCGTCAGGGTTCGAACCCAGGACCTTTCGGTTACAAGGCACGCTCGCATACCATTCAGCCACTGGGAACCGATTCCATGGCCGGTTCATGAATTCTAACTTCTACCAATTCGTGATTTAACACGAACACCAACCAATGTCATAGGCGGGACATCCATCTTCACACTTGACTGGATGGATGTCCCGCCTAGTCACTACTTATCACTAGAACTCCAGGAAACTCCATCCTGTAGCAAGTCACTAGCGAGCATTTGTGTAATGAGTAAATTTTCTGTAATATCGATGCCAGGTCGTAATAAAATCTATGACTAATCAAATCTCTGCAAAAAACCACGACAAAAATAATCTGAGGCCGACCAGTGAATTGTTCCATACAGGAAGTAACATGGAATTCTAGTGAGAAATCGTGACCAGTGGAGTCCACCAATTAAGACAATGAGAAAGTTTGATGAAATTAAATGGTTGGAGACAATCGGTAGGAAGCCATGTCTACACCTAGGTTTCGTGCTAGTTCGCACTCACCAGTCAGTCATCAAGGCATGTCTGAAACCTTGAAAGAGCTCATGCTTCTTCTGAGATTCGAACCCGCGTCACCCATTTCCATTTGCAGTCAGAGACGTTACCACTAAGCTATTCAGTCTCTCGATTGACCTCCTTTAGGACTGACTGCAATGGATACTTTGATTGCACAATAGTAACTAGTATCCAATCAAAATAGGAAAGTTACTCGGGCGATTATATGACACATCCCTTTTTTAAAAGTGGCGCCACCTGCTTTATCCAGTGAGTGTTAAGGCATTTCAATAAATAGGCTAGAATAAACAAACATGATTTCATAAAAATTCAAAAATATGCGTTTAACTTTTTGAACTTTGAATTGTCTTCATTAATCCATTACAACTCGTGGATGTCAGTATCAAGTAACATTTTCTGACACAAGTACAGCAAATTTGACGCAGTTCAAGAATATAATATCACCTACAATATGTACACCAGAATACAAATTTCTAATGCAAAATTTCAATTTCATTAAACCACCATACCAACGGTCTACTATGCTAAATTTAGCGGGGATACGCAATAAAGCCACTCCAGTTATATATATTGCGAGTTAGCAGGTTTGGAATTCACGGGTAATTGGGTCAGGTCTCAGTGGCTGAATGGTCTACCGGATGGTCCTGGGTTCTAAACCCGGTAGGTAGGTATGTACCGTTGAGGAGTCCAAAACTAGTAGAAAGCAATAGTCCGGTACTCCTTGGTTTTCTGATGGTTCTCTTACTGATATCAGCTCGTGATCAAATCCCTGCAGACCAACACTTGAAAAAAAATAATATTGAAAAGAATGAAAAATTCTCTACTGAATAAATGTGATTTTTTTTGCCACAACCTTTTTTCTATTTTACCTTCAATCACCACTGCCTATAATCCATCTCATGTGGCTCTTGTATTGACATGTTTCTTCATTAATAGGTTGATACAGGGGGAAGTTCCGAATGTCATACTTGTGTACTCCTCGATGTTGGTACAGACTGAATTCTATTATTTAAGTTTACAATATGGTCACCAAGCTAAGTGATTCACTCTCGCGGTGTTCTTTGAATCGGTGTTAATCGGTACAGTCACTTGTAGGAAATCGCTGGCACTCCCCAGTAAGACTTATGACGAAGCGATTTCATCTAGAGTATTATTGAAAACCAACCGAGGGTATTGGCCAATTGTCACCTCCCTAGTTTGCCACTTTTCAGCACTACACACCCATCACCCTACCGGAGATTGAACTCCAAGACCTTCAGTTTACAAAGTGAGTTCGTTAATCATTCAGCCTCTGGGCTGGATGAAATCCAAATGCTCAGTAATTCAACGGCTCTCTAACTGCAGTCATTGTGTTATCAAACTTATGATCTCCCGTTGATTGGTTTTTGTTTTACTAGACTGAAATGTTCGTTCAGCTCATAGCATATAGCATGAACGCTTTGTCGATGCTTTTACTTTACTTGGTTTCTGGTATTTGGTAGTGGTAGTAGTAGGACACACTTTTCGTCCTATTTGGGTTCCGTTAGCTGAATGCACCTGCATACTCATTGAGGCAGCGGTGTTCCCTACTAAGATTCGATTCCAGCACCTATCGTTTCAAACACCAAATAAATCCTATGTCTCTCATCAACGTAGTAAATAAATAAATAACTTGACAGTTAACCATTTTTCACATTGATAGAATGCATACAGAAATATAAACGTAGCCTGGATAAACATACTCGCCTGGGCATTCATCTATACACATAAGCAATTAGGTTTTGTATTGGTTGTATGTTAGTTTTTTTTGGAACAGGGTGAATGGTTGACTGACACTTACCTAATTGTCACCAATAATAATAGTAATACCGTAGAGACCAACAATCTCCTTTTTTTGCGATATATGTTATTGTGATCTGTGTGTTTGTTTAAAAGTCACAGTAGATGTTTACTGATGTTTGCGTTCAAGAAATCAAGAAACTTTATTATACATATTTTCGATGTGATGAACAGCTTTCGTTTTCTGAAGATGATTTTTCTATCTATCTATCTATCTATCCATCCATCCATCCATCGATGTCTTATCTTTCCTGTTCTGAATGGAAATACTCTTTATTTGGATGCTTGTTCGCCTGCTTACTTCTGTAGCGTTAGTATATTTATGCTTTTTCACATACATAGTGTAAGTTAACTGATATTGCCTTCAGTCAACATTTCTGACATGGTAATGTATATACACCATAGGGAATAGATGTTCAAACTAGAACAAGACAATCGAATTTACTGATTGACTGTATGTACAATAAATTAAAATGTGTTAGCGTGTATTTATTAACAGAAACTAAATAGTGATGTGTGTTTCTTTTAAAAGTTTGATGAGAGAAAAAACGGTTTAAAAAGAAGTGAAGCACATTACATTAGTATTCTGACACGTGTATCTGCCTGTGTGCTCCTAACACCCCCCCCCCCCCATAAATGACCTGGTACAGCCGAGCGTGGGTGAGTAGTAGACTTCAGTCTTCCTCTCGAAATTCTCTTTTCTGTAGCTATGCGTTCATATCTTCTGCTAGGTAAGTAGTTTTATTCACTGTCCTCACGCGTCTGGAGTTAATCTAAACGTCTGGCACTTATAAATGGACTGTTGGAGATGTCGGTGTATCTAGGTGAACTCGGTAACCGTGATCACAAACTTATAGTGTATATGGGCTTCACAATCCTAAAGGATAGAATGGCGTATGAACCTGTTTTGGTCACGGAAAATCATGGGAATGTAGCTCCTGACGCTGCTCCACTGTCTTGAAGTCAAAGGTTCAGAGGTGGGGGGTGGTCCCTTAAGACAACCACATGATCCGGCCTGGACATCCGGGCAGTATCCCAGTTGTCACATAAACTATCAAATTTTGTGTGGCTCATCTCTTGGTGCCCATAATGTACCCAGTTTGTGTTTTAGTAGACATTTTTTCGTTTGAAAATATGTCAAAAATCTTATCTCTCTGTATTATTTTTCTATATTTATTTGCTTATTTACTCGACTAGTTTGTTTTATCTTTCGGCGGGAAAATTCCAACTTCTTTTGAAGCAGACCATAGTTCTGTTTCTTATCCCTTATAGCTTATTATTATCATCATTATTTATCCCTTAGTTTCCTAAAGGAACATAAGACTTTAACAGCACACATCCATTTCATTCTATCCTCTACAGTCTTTTTTAACTGGTTCCATGATAGTCCATAAGTTTTCGTCTCCTCCATGACATTGTCGGACACCGACCTTGTCTATTCCTAGTCGGGTTCCACTCTAAGGCCTGGCACGTGATATCACTAAACGTTCTCCTCAGTGTATTTATAATCCATCCCCATTTCCTTCTGCATATTTGTCGGACTCTTCTGACTGGATTGCATTTGTAAAGCTTCTACATGTGTGTATCATTATCACGCTTGATACCACTAGCCATTCTAATTTTATTCCAATATTATATCTCTGAACATGGAAAAATATATTGTCTAGGCTGTCCTCGTCGATGAAAATTGTCACCGCAATACTCTTAGTTTCTTGTTTTATCTAGATTTTGAGTTTTTGATCAATTTCACTGTAGATTTCCTCACGAACCAACACCAGTTAGGAAATCATTGACAATCCATAAGCATTGCATGGCTGTTTCATCCTGGTTTGACACTCTTCAGTACTCTATGCCATTGATTTTATTAAACGTTGAACTCAAGACCTCCAGGTTGCTAGACCAACCCATTGACCTTTCTAGATATTGTATTAAAATCCAGCGACAAGTAATTTCTACCAATTTACAACAGAGAGCCAATGCCCGAGGGCAAGGGTCTGTTGTCATACCAAACCGCAGGCTGAAACTTCCAGCCTATTGGCTGAATGATGAGTGGGAATATCTAATAACCTGGAGATCCTATGTTCTATCGCTGATGGGATCGTAGGGGAACACCGCTGAAGAGTCCCATACTAAAGCGAAGCATATATCCAGTGGTTCTCTTCCTAGTGTTGTTGTACTTGGCTAAATCTTCCTTGAAACTTTCTTTTGCCTATGAAATGCACTCAAAACTAGTGAGTGATTTAATGATGCTTAAATAATCATGTCATAACATACTCTAGTTGTTTTTTTTTCTTGTCAAAATTCTCTTAGATTCGTCACACGAAAACTGGTTATTGTTTAGATTCACTTGGTCATAAAGTCGGTGAATATGTTGGTATAAGCCGATGTCATGGACAAGGTGGTAATCAAGTATTTGCAATAACTGAAAGTGGTGCAATTCGTGTTTACATTGGCTGTATAGATGGTGGAGATAAAAGGAATACAGGAACTGGAAAGTTAATATTTCATAGGTGTTCAAGTGACAATTTCGGTCAGGTATTTGAAATATCTGATAAGGTAAGCTTTGTTTTTATCTCCCTTTTCATATTTCATTCCCTACTTTCTGAGTGGAGTATACAGAGGGGGGGCTTCAAGCCTTAATGTTTCACTCACATTGGGGTTGTTTTTTTACAGGGTAGAGTTGCTAATCTAGCGCCCAACTTTTCCTAGGCTTACTATTTGCTAAGAAACTAGACGAGTATTTTGATTGGACACTAGTAACTAGTGTGATGTGTCTAGTCCTTTCTTCGCTGCAGACTGAATTCTATCAGTCAGGTTTGTAATGTGGCCACCATTTTAGGTAGCTCGCCATCACGGTGCACATTGATTTGATTATATTAGATGGTATGCACCAAAGGAAGGACCAGACACATCACATTACTTACTAGTGTACAATCAAAATACCCACTATAGTCCTACAGGAGGTCAATCGCGAAGCCCAAATAGACCAGTGGTAACGTCTCTAACTGCAAACGGAAATGGGCGACGCGGGTTCGAATCTCAGAAGAAGCATGAGCTCCTTCAAGGTTGCATATAGACCTTGATGACTGACTTGTGAGTGCGAACTAGCACGAAACCTAGGTGTAGACACGGCTTCCAACCGATTATCTCCAACCATCTAATATCATTAAAACTAGGCGAGTTTTAGACGTCCTCTAACCGGAAATCGAACATGAACCACGTGAATGTCTGACTGTTAAGCATTTTACCACCAGGCCACGGAAATACTCTAAACTAGCTGAATAGGCGAACTCGGAGCTGGAATATTCTACATATTGGTTGAGAATGGTAAATACGTGTCAAATGATAATGAACTACATACGTAGATACATGGAACGGGATTCAAATATATAACTTACTGGTTGAAAGTTGAATACTGCGACTGATGAATCCGTTTTAAATACTTCATTCAGTCCGTCCATAATGTTTCATCAATGAGAGAACCTGACAATGATCTCCTGTTTGCTTATTGAGTGTACACCATATTGAAGACAGCTGAAAGGGACTTGTTCAATATCCATAATTAAGTTTTACTTATCGCTTATCTCGTCAAACATTGAGTGTTAGATGGCATTGGAGAAGAGTTGGGAAGTGGTTGAACCGAAACCTGAAGTCGTCGATCCATGAAGTCTTTGACAATCGATTTGAGCCTAACCAATGTGGAGAGATGTAGACTACTTAGATGGAGTCCTTGAGATGGTAAGAACCATTGACACGAGACTGTTGGTGATATGGTTCAAAACCGTTCTCAGTGGAACACATGCATTCATTCTGCTTACTACAGCTGTTTTGGATCCCTTTTTTCCATGTGTGTGTGTGTGTGCTTTATGGAATGTGGCAAGTTGAACTGGTGCACTTCTGTGCAAAGTTCTATATTGACTCTTACTCAATCAGTCAGGAAATGCATTTGGCAACTGAGTAACCTTCATACATCGTAGATTTTTTAATCAATGTACCCCTCATTTCCGTAGCGCTGAATGATTAGTAGTAGTACTGCAATTTTTTAAAATGTGATCTAAATGAAACGATAGTTAGTTTAAACCTCTGCCTAGTTAAGTATTAGACACCAGGGATCACTTATCGAATATCCCCGGCTTTGTATGCTTTTCCAGCTGGTACGTCTCAAGCGAAATGCTGGGACGAGGCTGTCCAACGCATGTAGGAAGGGTCGGGAGGATATTTTCTTGACTCTCCTTTTGCCGTGCAGTAATATCAGAGAGGATAGATGAGGGATGCTAAGGCTTCCTGAATTGATTGGTGCGTGGAAGAACGATGTTGGGGTACCACTGGGCAATCGTAGCCATTGACGGATGGCAGCTCTAATCCGGCAGTCAATTTCACACAGAGTATTTTTATGGACCACCCAAAGAGCCGGACTATACTTGCAGTCTAGGGATCAGAAGTTGTCTCTAATGTACACACTTTGCTGTGGCTTGAAAGGAGCAGCTTTAACGTTGGCTATGTAGTCGTTGAGAATCTGAGAGTATTTGCGGGATAACCTTCCCTTAAAGTTAAATGAAACGCCCGGATAATAAAATATATATCTGTTACTTTAGCTGCTGGGATTGTATTTTCACCAATCTGTAAGAAAGTGGATTTACATCCCGACTGGAGATCTAAGGTAAGGCTTTTGTAGGTGTTAAGTTGTAACCATGTCCATCTTCTTTTGGAGAGCTGCAGCATTTAGAGCAATGATGAGATCGTCAGTGTAGGCGATATAGCTGAGAGTGTCATTCTCCACTCGAAGGTGTAGTTCATCGTCCATAGAAGCCAATGTCTCATCAATTGACATTACATATATACCCTTGACAATTTTAGATTGGATTCAGAGAGTCACATGTGTTGAATGGATAATAACTTTGTGAGCGATTCCAAGTCGTGCTCGCTTAAAAACTGAATAAATTGATAGTAAGTTTCTGATTTTAACATTGAGCGGTACTCTGCTTTCATTCCTTTCACTTTGAGTGGAATATAAAAGGTTTCAAGCTTGATCTCTGAATTTTCAGCAGCGGTGATGTTGCTTTCCTTTACGGGACAGTGTTGCTAGTCTCAACTCTAACCTTGCACCCTGGTGTTAAACTAGACAAAGTGTAGGAGATTTTAATTTCATAATGGCGTAATAAATGTCGTTGATAAAAACCAACTGTATTGATTCATGATGATTGTCATATAGTAAATCTTTCTTCTGACTGTCTGTCGCTTGACAACCTCAACGCTAACAAGTTTCTGCAATCCCTTTTTTGTTGCTGTAATAGACAAGGTAACATATCAATCTGTTAATAGCATTGTGAAGTATGTTACCATCAACGAATCACATGACTTACAATTATCGATTATTCATCAAATGTTACTTGTTTTACGCGTGTTTATTAATTTAGTGTTTTGATTCAACCAGTAATACAAATCGTTAGCTAACAACAACAAAAATCCATAATTCATCTCATAGTCTGTTGTTGAGTTGACATTTTGTTTTTTCTTTTACACTTCTTCTCTACTCTACTCTTCTCTTCACTTGTGAGTTTTTCTTTTGTGGTGATGGAAACGGTTTTTAACTTGCCTACATAGTATTAGTGTAATTTGTTTTCTCTGAGGTGTTAAAAAAGAGAAAATGTGTGATCCGATTTGCCTGATGCGCCTATGAATGGTAATCATAATAGCAAACAGATAGATGCATGACACTGTGCAGTATAGATTATTAGTCATGATGTAGTTGGACATCACTCACACAGAACAGAAGTACATGTTAAACAGTAGTATATATGGTGTCATACATCTATTAATTAATTGTTTACTTGTTTAGCATCAAGCAGGTCACATGTATTATGATGCGAATAAATTCGGTTTCCAGAGGAAACTGTGGTGAAATTTCACCTCCTTGAACTCTGTAAATTGTAAATTGTGAATTCGATTTAAGGTATTACCAATTCACCCAAGTAGCTAATCAGAAACCGGTTGGTTTGAACTAATTTGGCTCTCTGTGCTGATTCGAATTTGATGTACACCACTGATGAGCTCAGCTGCAAACGAGCGAAATAGCCGCCCAGTGTTTAGATTACTTCAACGATCTGGCTGGCAAGCACTACTGGTTGATGTGAGTAGTGTCCAATTATGTATGTAGTATGTTATATCATAACCTCGCCAGATACTAGCTTGCTAGGCTACTAGCTTACTAGTTTTCTAGCCGGTCCCAAGCCCGGGTAAAGAGGGAGGGTTGGGGCGTGGTGCTAGCAACTCCACCCCTGTAAAACAACCAAATCGCTACAGAAACTTCAACGAATAAATATATTAAAAATTCTAAAAACATAAGCAATAGCCTTACTTTTCGCTGGAATCGGGGAAGTGAAATGACGCAGGCTGGTGAAAGCCTTCGGGAAGCCAGTCAGCCGATGTGCCTTCTTTCGATGAAAGCAAAAGTAAGGATGGGTACCTGGAATGTTCGTACAATGTACGAAACTGGAAAGGCTGCCCAGATAGCCGCTGAAATGAGAAGGTACAGAATAGAAGTGTTGGGAATCTGCGAAAGCAGATGGAACGGAACTGGAAGGTGCCAACTACCTACTGGAGAGACAGTAATCTTTTCCGGCCACCCAGAGGACAACCATGAGCACACCGAGGGAGTGGCCATCATGATGTCACCAACAGCAACCAAAGCTCTCATGCAGTGGGAACCAATCTCCTCCAGGATAATGACAGCCAGGTTCAACTCAAAAGGAAGGAAAGTTACAGTCATTCAATGCTATGCGCCTACAAACGTCTCAGAACAAGAGAAGAAGGAGGCGTTCTACAGACAACTACAAGCAATAATGGACAACGTCCCAAATGGCGATATCAAAATCCTGATGGGCGACATGAATGCGAAGCTGGGAGGAGACAACACAGGAAGAGAACTCACCATGGGTCGTGAGGCCCTCGGTGAAATGAACGACAATGGTGAACTCTTCTCAGACTTCTGCGCCTTCAATGATTTGGTGATTGGTGGCAGTGTTTTCAAACACAAGGATATACACAAGACGACATGGATTTCACCAGATGGAAACACCAAAAACCAAATAGACTTCATCTCAATTTCAAGAAAGTGGAGACGGAGCCTACTGGACACAAGGTCAAGGAGAGGAGCAGATGTGGGTTCAGACCACTATCTAGTACAAGGGACTTTCAAGGTGAAACTAAAAGCCTCGAGGATAGCTGGGGATAGGCCACAATGCAAGTTCAACACTCAGAAACTGAAGGACACAACCACAAAAGACACTTTCACTGCAACTGTCAGAGCAAAGCAGGAAACACTACGCGACATCACTGAAGAATCATGCGTGGAAGAACATTGGAAGTCTCTGAAGGCGATTCTCAACGAAACGTGTTCAACGGTTCTAGGAAGAAAGAAGAGACAAGACAAGGAATGGCTCTCAACGGACACTTGGAAATTAATAGAAGAGAGGAGAATGGTGAAAGAGAAAATGATTCAATGCAAGGACGGACAGGAGAAGGAGACGCTGAGCTCAACTTACAAAGCACTGGACAAAGAAGTGAAGAAGAGTGCTAGGAAGGACAAAAGACGATTCTACGACAACCTCGCCACTGAAGCTGAGAAGGCAGCAGGCAAAAGGGACCTGAGGACACTATATCAGATAACCAAATCTCTATCCGGGAAGAGATCAACACAAGCGAAACCTATAAAAGACAGCCAAGGGAACCCAATTACCAAGGAAGAAAAACAGATTAAACAATGGGCGGATCACTTCAAAGGACTCTTGAACCGACCATCACCTGCAACCCGTCCAGAAATACCAACAACAGCGCGTACACAACTGCAAGTTGACACCAATCCTCCAACGAGAGCTGAAGTCTTGAACACAATCAAGCTTCTGAAAGCTGGAAAAGCAGCCGGACCAGATGGAATACCCCCTGAAGCACTGAAAGCGGACCCAGAGACTACAGCAGACATGCTGACTCCATTATTGCAAAAGGTCTGGAAGGAGGGAAAGGTGCCTACTGACTGGAGGAAAGGTTACCTCGTGAAACTACCAAAGAAGGGCGACTTACGCCTCACTCTGCAAGAACTGGCGAGGAATCATGCTCCTATCGACGCCAAGTAAAATCCTGAGTCGCATCATCCTGGAGAGATTAAAGGACGCACTGGAGACAGAACTCCGACCAGAACAAGCTGGATTCAGGAAAGGCAAATCATGTACTGACCAAATTGCAACTCTACGCATCATCATCACAGAACAAAGCATGGAATGGCAATCAAACCTCTACCTCAACTTTATAGACTTTGAGAAGGCCTTCGACAGCGTTGACCGTGAAGTAATTTGGAAATTACTCGAGTACTATGGCGTACCCCAAATATTCATCAACCTTATTCAACAGCTGTACGACAACGGCACATGTCAAGTGATCCACAACGGAAAACTCAGCGAGGCGTTTGGAGTAAACACAGGAGTCAGACAAGGGTGCTTTTATCTATCACCAATGATATTCCTAATTGTGGTGGACTGGATTATGCGTCAGACAGTGGGAAACGAGAAGACAGGAATATCCTGGACGACCGACGTGAAGAACCTAGAAGACCTGGATTTCGCGCCTGGATGATTTATGTTTGATGTCACACAAAATCGAAGACTTACAAGCGAAAACCGACAAACTGGTCGAAGAAGCAGCCGAGAAGACAGGACTCCAGGTAAACATAGACAAGACGGAGGTTATGAAAATAACCACAACCAACAACAACAACAGCAAAACATCCAGCGTCAATCACCATCAACGGGAGGGATTTGAAAGAGGTTACTTCATTCACTTATCTAGGGAGCATTGTCTCAACTACAGGAAGTCGGAACGGACGAGGATGTCAAATCGAGCGAGAATCGGGAAGGCGAGAAACACATTCATCAGCCTGAAACCAATCTGGAAATCTTCGTCACTCAGCCACATCAACAACAAAATTCGGTCGGATTTTCAATACAAACAACGTCAAGTCAGTTCTTCTATACGGATCAGAAACTTGGCGGGCGGGTCACAAAGAATATTTCCAACAGGCTGCTATTGCAGACCTTTATCAACAACTGTCTTCGCTGGCTCTATACTGAAGATCAGATGGCCGGGCCGGAAAGAATCACCAACAATAAACTATGGTGGGAACAAACAAGCGAAACAAGAACCAATTGCGAACCAACAAATATGCAGGAGAAAGTGGGGATGGATTGGACACTAGCTCGCTGAGGAGGCTGCTGGGTGACATCGCGTGTCAAGCCCTCGAGTGGAACCCGAAAGGGAAGCGGCGTGTGGGACGTCCAAGGGTGACATGGAGGAGATCGTGTGAAGAGGAGTTGAAAGAATATGGACTAAGATGGATACAGGCGAAAAGTACAGCAGAAGACAGAAGCAAATGGAGAAGTGCAGTTGAAGCCCTATGTTCCACTAGGAACCCAAGGGAGCAATAATAATACAATAATAATGTTATATCATGCATTGATTGATCGTGACGAGTGATACCTCACCAACAATAAATACCAATCACTATTAATGTGCGAAGTCTAGAGGAAGATGTCTATTTCACTTATTATTATTCTTTCCTTTAATTCCTAGAGGAACATAAGGCTTCAGCCGCACTTCTCCATTGCGTTCAGTTCTCTGCCAACGTTTTCACCGAGCTCCACGTCTGCCCACATGCTTTCATCTCCTCTTCTCTTGGCCTCCTCCATGTCACCCTTCCCCCAGAAAACCAACTCGTCGCTTCCCACTCGGGTTCCACTCGAGTGATTGCCTACTGTGTTATTCCACTTGATGGCTTTTCGAGAGTATGGCCAATCCATCTTCATTTCTTCCTGCATATTTGTTGCACAATTGGTTCCTGGTTGGTTCGCTCCCAGAGATCCCTCCATGTTGCTGATCTTTTCTGGCCACCTGATCTTGAGTGGTATTGAGCGAAGACATCTGTTGATGAAGGTCTTTAGTTTTTTTGAAGTGCCCTTCGTGACACGCCAAGTCTCTGATCTATATAGTGAGTAGTACTGACTTCTTCACATTAGAGTTGAAAATCCGAATCTTATTTTTCATTCTGAGTGCTGTTAATCTCCACACATACTTGAGAGGAATGAAAGCTTGTCTTGCTTTACCAATCTTCGCTTTCACTTACCTAAGCAGTCTTGTTTTGATAACAGAAGGAACCTGGTGAGGACGTCAGAGCCGATCAGCATCAGATTGGGCAAACAGCATAGATCTTCATTACTCGCAAATCAGTGTGGAAACCCACAGAACTTAAGCTTAAGGAACAAGATCCGAATTTTTAACGCTAATGTCAAGTTGATTCTTTTATATACTTCAGAAACTTGACGTATCGCTAAATACATTCCCGACAGCCTGGTGTAGACTGTCATCAATACCTACCTGCTGTCGGACGATCTACTAGGTCAGGTGACCAACTGGAAAGGATAAGGAACAAGGAACTCTGATAGTCAGTGAATCAACTAAGAATCTGTTACTTCACAGTCGTGCAGAAGGAAATGGAGATTGATTGGTTACTTTGTGGTGTTGGCCTTTGAGTGGAACCCTAATGCAAAGTGACAAATCGGGTGAATGGAAAGAGATCATGTAAGAGGAGATGAAAGCTTGTGTTTAGCGGTGAAGCCAGCTGTGGGGGAATGAATCCCTGTATTCTACTCAAAACGTAAGTAACATATGAATAGTAATAACCGTAAAACAATAAGCGACCATCGGTGTTGAAATAAAAAGTTGATGGGTGATTTAGCACCAGCATCTTTTTGGGGGCGACTTCAACTTGTTCAGATGTTTTCTTTGGTTTTAGATTCGTGTCTATGAATCTGGGCTGGAAATCATTTTCTATCGAGGTTCGTCGGATCCTCGAGGAAAGAGAGTATATGACGCTCCTCTTTCTGCTTAGAGGAACACAACTATGGAAATTTATAAATCGCCCTTTCCTTATAGGCTTTCTCCTTTGTATGGATCTCCTCTGCGAGTTATTAGCATTTCTTTGCAGTGGATCATTGAGAAAATGGAAGATTGCTTTCAAGAGGTGGGGTTGCTAGTCTCATCCCCAACCTTCCCTCTTTACCAGTCTTATTGCTGGCTTAGCGAGGCTTAGGAGTGCGTCAGCCGGGAGTTGGACCGTGGACCACATGCGTGGTCGATGAGCATTCTGCCGCTGTGCCACTGATGCACTCTTGTAGAGGTGGAGCTGGTTAGCAGTTCTTGATAAGGAATTCTTTCCTAGGCTAGCCATACAGAAGTCGGCATAGCTGAGGCGCTAGCGATCCAAAGGTTTAAGCCCACTCACTCTATGTATTCACAAGAAATACATCTGTATCATGGCCATCATAAACAGTCATTCCTATCAATAACGGTTATCTAATTACCTTTCTTATCCAATCTCCTGTTTATTTATCTTATTTTCACGCTTTCCAATTCCTGTCTGTACTAATACTTTTTTATCCGAACTTACTGTTTATTTCGTTATTCCTACATTACTTCAATGCTTAATTGCACAAAAGAAAGTCAATTTTTCCAGTGATTATGATCCTAATGTGTGTGTATTTTCCGATTTTTGTGTTTATTACACTTTTTAATTTTATCGATTTGACCGTTGAGCGGGAGTAGTTCTGGGAGTTTTTCATCCATTTTCTATAAATACACGAACATACAGTCCAGTTTATTTATTTATAATTGATAATGCCTACCTGACTGTTTTGTTTTCCCCACCTTACCTTTTGTCTTCACTTTCTTTTTCTTCTAGAAAATAATTCACAAAGCTACGAAACTGTGCCTTGTTGTTATCCCAGTAGTCAAGGTGTTACGACTCACACTAAGTAAGTGATGTGCCTTTTTATATCAGCTCAGAATTGATTCATTTATGGATAGATCTGTTTCTTTTTTTTTTCCTTTAAGGATGTGGCACCTTGTCATTTTAGTACCTCTGGTGTTGTTTTACGAGGTGAGATTGCTAGTCTCACACCTAACCACCTTACCTCTTTTACGGACTTACTACCAACTAGTAAACTGAGTGAGGTTTACGAGTGTGCTTTGGTCAGTAATCGGACCTCAGACCATTTACTTGGTAGTCGAGGATCCTACCATCGAGTCACCTATGTATAACTGTGGTTTCCTGCTATTATATATATCTGAATGCAGTAAACAGCTTTAGTCTAATATACGGTCTGCTTGAATGGATGCTTTGATAATTGGAGGGTTTAATAGTTCAAAGTTACCCGATCGGTAGTCGTGATGACTAGCAGCAGAATTCAGCTCAGCATGTGCGTTTTGTCCTATTTTGGACTCGTTATCCGGGTGTACTTGCATTCACAATGAGTAGTGATACTTCCACTGGCATGCGAACCCCAGTATCCTTTGTTTCAAATGCCAAAGGATTATCCACTTCCCCAGTTGAATACAGTATTGGACACCATGAGTTGCGCCTAACACAAATAATAAGCATACATATCAAGTCAACGCTGATGGGCGTTCGTTAGTTCATATTACCTTCACGAGGGAAAAAATTACAGGAAATTGCAACATATTCGCCATTAGTTTGATTTCTGAGCCACTGAACCACATGATCCCACCTAGGGAGTCGTAATGCGCCAGCAAACGTTAACCCAACACAACTGTCCTTTATGCATTACACCATGTAATCGACTGACCACCAATTCGCTTTATCTAACTAGTTTCAGAGTTATCAAATAGCGAACCCTGTGGCAGCACATATCCAGGTAACCGAAGCCCGGTGTGACAATACGACTTCATTTATTGAGAGACGATCTTCACCGTGTAAAGACACACTTCATTTGAACCTCAGAATTACTTATACGGCGATATCATTTGGTGCAGACAATTCTTCTGACTAAATACACAAACTTAATATACATCCTCAGGTCGAAGAAGTGAATCAGTTGAAGAAGTATTGACAGGGGAAAACATCAAACTTGTGCGGGTCTAGTCATCTTTTTAATTTCCTACTGATTCTGAGTTTCAACTCTGTGTAGTGGGTTGAATGAAGAAAAAACCACATCTAATTGTTAAAATACCTCATAGTTAGAACATTTAAAGTGTTTTTAAATTTTTATGAGTGATTAATGAAAAGTTCAAAATTGTGATGTAATAACCATCTGACACTCACTAGTTCTCAGTAGCACTCAATGTACTCCTAGTGCTCAAACAATAATATGAATCCATATTGTCCTAAGCCTTCCGAACATTACGTTTCCATACAGGACCTTCACTTTACTGCGGCTCTATGGTCCAATAGGCGTTCTCATGGTTTAAGTGTGATCCAGATTTTAATTGGTGAATGTGAAGAAAGACCTTCTGTTTTTGAGGGCGTGTTATATGAGTATTCATTTTCTTTTCTGAAAGATAGAGAGGTGTCTTCATTCCAAGTTTTGTGGGGTGCGGGTCTATGTTGTCACAAATGCTCTAGTGTTTGAGATATGAACTTACTATTGGAATTAGACGGAAACTACTTGTGAGTAGTAAACTTTTGTATGCTAATTTTATCGAGATACGATCTTCATTCTGTTCGAACCAGCTTAAAACAATATAATGAAGGTATATTGATGTATCTGATCTTCAACTTAACGTATGCCTCTCAATTTATCAATGGTATATTGCTCTCCAGCCATGTGGGAGGTCCGAGTTCGATTGCCGGTCGACTCACTTCTAAACCTTCAACTAGTTTACTAACAGATATTATCGGTATCACTCGGTAAAAACAGCACCGCGGCGACTAGAACTCTAAAGCTTGAAATCCTATGTCCCACTTAGAACTCAGGGGAATGAAAAAACACCATCTCAGATATTTTCACCATCAGTTTGCAATGTGCTTCCCTGCTTTCAACTCATTTCGGTTTCAGAGCTGCACCTGACAGGGTGTTGAGCTATAGTAATTCAGTGACCGTTGGTTCGAACTCTGATGCAATGCATATTCCCATTTCACCACCTACAGCGGCAATAATAGTCCGCTTCACCGAAGACTATATCAAATAGCTTCAGCATTGTATCCACATATTGATTTTTTTTGAAAATGAACTCTGTGCAAGTATGTTAATATTGTTTCTATAGATAAACTTAATAATGTCTTTGGGCTGCAAGCAGCAGCACCGGAATAAACAATGGTGGTATCATTTTATTCTGCACAAATCACTGTTGTTCTTACTTTATTTAAAAGTTAGCAGTACAAATAAAAATAGCAATTATCCAGTTTCATTGGGAAAAATAGCTATTCTAGGTTGAAGGAGTTGAAAGCCATGCGAGGGAAAGGGATTGAACAAACTTTTTCTGAACACAGAGATTGGGTTGAAAAGTTTGTATGACAACTTCCCCAGCTATGCTTAGCAATCGGAAATGCATAAACTGAAGAAATTTAGGTGGTACCTTGTATAGAATTGTAAAGAGAGAATTTTTATAAATCTTGTGATCCGTACGCACAGGGTGTACAAGTATGGAACTCCTGATCGACTTTACTATTTCTTTACCTGACCATGTTGGAAAGTGCTCAAAAAGACGACAGTGAGCTTTCCGAGTATTTCTGCACACGTAAATGTCTCCACACACAATCAAAAAAAAAACAGTTAGACGTATTTGCTTACTTAAATTGTATTCTATAAGTTAGGATGAAATTACTTTCCTATATGATTTTTTAAACATCGACTGTGAGGTCAACTACATAGGTAAAACTAGTAGGTCAGGGGTAGTCAGATTGTCAGAACCTAAGAATTTAGCTAAGGTAAGAATGGTTGACCCTGAAAAGATAAGTAGTTTAGAAAAAAACTCAGCAATTGCAATGCATGCGTTAACACACAACGACACAATAGCAAGGTGGGAGAGGGTTAAAATGCTAAAAAGTAATCTAGATAGGTGGATAGAGAGGTTGATTACTGAATCCTTGTTCATCGAGTCTACACCAAACACATGCAATAGGAATGAGTCATCACTCATACCTGAAATATGGAAAATACTACTGCCAATCAAATCAAGTGAAAAAGAATGAAATTACGTTGTTATATTTTCTATAGTTGGTTTGTAAGGATTAGGTTTGTTTTTATGAGTTCATCACGGATTGATATCAGTTAGAGAATCATTGAAAACCTTGTTCAGTAATCATTTGTAAAGCTTTCTAATTAAGGGTTCCAATGCAAGTGGGTCTTCAGTCACTAATATGAACATCAATTAATCCTACTACTCCGTAGAATAAATATTACACGAATTCTACCCAGTTTATCTCAATTTACTTGAAGCAATAGTTAAGTGTAACCAATTGAGAGACATTGGAAAACGAGTAGATTTAAATATCTGTTCTAATCGACACCTGATATTAACCAACCCCTCCCCCCCCCCTTCACTCGGACACTATCAAATAATCGTTTGAATATTCCATGATTTTGATGATTGAAGTAAATGCTTGACGGTGAAGTGGACTATTACTGCTGCAGTGTGTGGTGAAACGGGAATATGCATTGCATCAGAGTTCGAACCAACGGTCACTGAATTATTATAGCTCAACACCCTGTCAGGTGCAGCTCTGAAACCGAAATGAGTTGGAAGCAGGGAAGCACATTGCAAACTGATGGTGAAAATATCTGAGATGGTGTTTTTTTTCATTCCCCTGAGTTCTAAGTGGGACATAGGATTTCAAGCTTTAGAGTTCTAGTCGTCGCGGTGTTGTATTTACAGAGTGAGACCGATAGCCGTACAACTAACTCATCCTCTTTTCCAGGGCTTAATACCTGCTAGTAAACTAGTTGAAGGTTTAGAAGTGAGTCTGTCTTTAAACTTCTCATCTCTGCTTCTCTGTCTTTCATATGACATAGTTGGTCTGTGTTCGCATATATTTTCCTTTTTTTCCCGTTTTGTTATGTTTTGTTTAGGAGTATGCTCTGATTCAGAAGATTTCAACTGGACTCTGCCGCCACTCTTCAATGATACAACAGTTCTCATATAAACAACAGTTGGGCTTCCATTTCTTTCTCTTTTCTTCTCTCACTCCCCTTCAATTCAATCACTTAGTCAGTCAGCCAGCCATTCAATTTTTAGTCTATATTCGGAAAAACCAAACAAATGAATGTGATATATATGTACATTTATATATGATATGTGTATATGATGTATAATATATGCGTAGTATTGTAATAATTTTGGATGTAGTTTATTTGCAATTGTGTTTGTACTTCTTCCTTATTTTTTTTTTAACACAACACCTTCGTTTTCATTATTTTCTCCCTGTGTTTGGTTGGTTGGTCGATTGGTTGTTGTGGCTTAATGCATCATTCATCCATTTATTGGTTCTCCCGTTGGTTGCCTTAAAACAGTTTCTTTGAAAGCAAGAGATTAGGTTGAACACTGTAATATATATTAATATTACTAGTATTATTATTATTTCTTCAATACAAACCTTTTGTCTTCAAAATACTTTGTCAACTGCTTATATATTTATTATTATGATGATTTGTGTATTTTATATAACGTGAAATCAGGTCCTCTCTGTCTCTCTCTGCCTCTCCGCCGCCCGTTCGTATTTCAGAGATGAAACAGTTTTGTTCATTACACGATTATGTTTGTATTTTGTAAGTAGATAGGTGCGATAGATAAGGAGTATATATTTACGTTTATATCAATGAGACGTATTCAACACAGTGTCTCCTACTTTATTTGTTTGTTTGTTGTTGTTTTTTTCTTAATACTGTACACTTATATGCACGAATGTACTTCATTCATCGACTTCTTCAACTTTTTTTTGTCGTGTATGTTTAGTGATCAAGGTGAAGGTTGTGGTGGTATAGTTGTTAGCTCAACAATTATGTAGTTAATATATATGTATGTATCTATAAAGTGATTTTCATTCCTCGTATCTCTTTACTTGACATGTGACAATGTAAAATAATTAGGAAATGAAATGGAGGTATTTATATGCATACGTGTGTGTCTGACTTTTAATTTTCCGTTTATTTATTTATTCTGTATATGGACGCCTTTCTTATACTTTCCTACTTTTATTATTATGATTATTATTCCCCTCTTCTACATGGCGACTTTTCTTCTGTTTTTCTTTTGTATTTTGTTGTATAATAAATTTATTTTAGGGTGAATTGGTTCCCTTTTGAAGCACAAATAATGATATAAATAAATACTAACAATGGATAAGTTTGTTTTATTCTTATATTAGGATTATTCATCTCTTGCTATCTCTGCTATCATTCTTTTTTTTCAGTCGGTTCCTATGGTTGTCCATAAACATCAGAAGATTTTCCGCTTATACTGCACTTAGTGACCCTAAAAAACAAATTTTTTGATTCCCGTTTCGATTCAACTCGAAGGCGGCGCATGTCTGGTAGTGTGTGTGTGATGTCAGAGCATTATATCCAAACCATCTGTATTTCCCTATGTCTATTGTTTGAGCAATAGGTTCTTTGTGTGGTTCTCTGGCTGCCAGAGTTCTTTGTTTAGTGCTTAACTATCTCCACCAGCCATCTGGTCTTCAGTGTCCGGTGTAGAGAGAGGGTAACTGTTGATGGAAGTCTGTAGCAGATTGTTGGAAATGCTCTTTTAGCGAAATTCATGTCAAGTCTCTAAACTATACAGAAAAGCACTAACTAACTTGACATTAGGGTGGATCTTGTTACTTGTGTTGTAGTTCTACATGATTATGAGTAATAATAATAAATTGTTCTCAATACATCGTCCAGTTATTAATACTGTTTCACTCACTGTGTGTGTTATATCAAATAAATTTATCTAATAGAGAATTATATTCTACCACGGTCCTTAAGTTCTCCGCTTTCTAATGGCTGTACATCTTCACACTTGTTTCAAAGTCATGAAGTTGAAATGACATTGCCTTTCAAGTGTTGGTTTGTAGGGATTTGGTTGATTGGTTACAGGATATCATCATGAGCTGACATTAGTTAGAGAACCATTGGAAAACCTGGGAGTACTGGACAGCTGTTTCCATCATCCTAGTTTGGGACTCTTCAGCAGTACGCCCCCAACGGGATTCGGGCCCAGGACCTGGTTACAAGGCAAGCTAGCTCGTAGACCATTAAGCCACTGGGACCCGATTCAATGGCCCATGAATTCCAACTTATGCCAATTCACGACAAAGAGTGACTCCTAATTAATATCTTCGGCGAGTATTTGTCCTCCCACCCGACCAGTTGCACCTTACTGGTCACGACTTCTCACTAGAACCCCTGGTAACTACCTACCTGAATAGGGCCAGTCGCTAGTGATATTGCCTTTCATTGGTATTTTGCAGTAGTGTAGATTTTAGGTGGAGATCTCGTGATTGAGGATACGGGAATTTAAAGCTAATTTAGTCATTTTTATATTAAATAGCTGTGATTGTTTATTCTCTCCTTGAACTAGTAGATTGAATGTACAGACACCTAATACGTCGGGGAGTCGGTACCAAGAGTTAATAACTCGATAGGAGAAACCAGTATTTCAGAAAAAACTCTCCTACTACTTCTTCTGAAATATTATGACCTCATGAGAAGGAAATGAGGTAACTGATCAGGTCTCTATCCATTTCTTAAAATTTTGAAAATGATTATTAGATCTTCTCTCTACCTTTACGGTATGATAAGGCGAAGTTATCCGCATACAATGAATCATGCAAGTCGCCGCTGCTTCGACTCTTTTTATCATGTATTGGACACCCTTTAGATAATGACTGTCTGTTTGGATACAGCTTTCTCTTAATTGAACAAATTTTGTTTAATTTAATGACATATTATATATAGTGTAGCATATACTACTTATTTATATAAGTAGTTCCCAACCACTCACACCAAACAGTAGTACTTGGTAACCGGATGGAAGTGATCTAAACACCTCAAGACTATTTCACTTGTTTAAAGTCAAGCTCATCAGTGGTATGTGTACCCAGATTTACTTAGCTCAGCGAGATGAATTCTGGATAGGTACTTCATCGAACTGGTAATTATACAGCGAATTCTCATCTCGAAGTGTGCATTTTTTTATATGACGGATTCGATTCTGTCTATTCTCACTTTACAAATATTTAGCAAGAAATATTCCGAAAGTAAAATGTAAGTTTGGCATATTTTATTGTTACATGGAACTGATAGTTCTATCCTCCATTACAGTCGGAATATACTGACTGCACAGTCTATTTCTGTAGACATACACTAATTAGAAAAAAGTAGCATTTCTTCACTCCCTTGTGTCCCGAGTGAAATATCAGGCTTCAGCTTTAAAGTTTCTGTAGCGGCTTTTATTACCCTGTAGGGTGGTCGGCTAGAGTCACACTCAACCTTCCCACTTTACCAAGCTCTTAACTGGTTAAGGGATGTTCAGGAGTACGTCGGTCCAAAATCGAACCCCGACCACGTGGATGGTTGGCGAGTATTCTACCAGTGAACCACCGGCAACGCTGTTAAAGAAAAATAGCATTTACTGGAATTATTTGAAGGATTACACACTGTGGTAGAGAAGTCTCAAAATGAAATCATCCTACTGATTGCCTCAGAATGTTACCACAACAGGTGCTACTCACAGCGATGTTATCTAAGCACTGAAGAATAAATTGTATGACATGGTCTTCAAGGTCTACCAAGCATCACATAAGACGAGATTTGAATTCCATAATTTTAATCATAAGAATTGGGAGTACGACTACTGAATTATGTTTATTTATCGTGGTCTGTTTTTATGAAGTTGTGTAAACTCTAGTCTCCATCGAAGAGAACCACTGGCTCACAACTGACATTAATTGTTTAATATTCTTATTAAGTGATACATTCTCCTGCACAGTTAAACAGTGTGAAATCTGTTTACACTGCTTGTGTGACGAAAACATATGATATTAGGTGGTTGGAGGCGATCAGCAGGAGACCTTGGGGTTAGGTTTCGTGCTTGTTGACACTCACCAGTCAGCAAGGAGTATCTACAGTATCATAGGAATTAGTGTCTCTTTTGAGATTCGAACTCGTGTCACCCAGTGCTACAGTCAGAGACGTCACCACTGTGCTATTCGGCCTCGTGACTGACCTCCTGTAGGACTGACCGTAATGGATACTTAGATTGGACACTAGTTAGTCAATAGTGTCATGCGTCTAGTCCTTTGTTTGGTGCCGAGTGAATTCTATCAGCCAAATGTGCACTCCACATGAGTCTCAACTTTATTCTCACTGTTTTTCGAGAAAAAGATGCAAATTGATCAGTTGTTAAGACGTTGGAGATTTAATCACACTTCGTGTGAATTTCATTTCATAAATTAACACACAAATAAGTGCCACTTCACTTTTTGTGTATTATGGAGACACTACCAATTCACATACTTAAATCTGATTTCTTTGTAAAAGAAGTATATTCATTCCACATATTCCTGATTTCATTATAATTACTTAGTTCACCAGATTCATCTCGTGGCCTTGACTTTTTTGTTATTTGGAGTGTCGGTTTCTACAGATAGTCTTCAAAGGAATATTAGATTAAAGGTTGTAGCGGTAAATAATTCCCCAAAATTATTAGCCCGCAGCATTCTTCACTCAGTACTGATGCTGATCTCGACTGTGTTAAGTCGTCTCGCTAAGCCGAAAGCACGTGGTCAAGCATTCTCGGCATTCGGCACACTGTCGTGTTACATTAAGTAGTTTGTTGAATGATCCCTAGCTAGCTAACCGATTGTCATCCCACTACGACTCTGATCCCGACACACATATTGTATTTGGGACGATCAATTTGTTGTTTTTATAGCGTGTCGTGTGTAAACGTCGACATCCACCGTTACCTAAAAGGTTGTGCAAGATAAAAAATACAGGCCACTCATTATATCTCATGATAAGGAGACTAAAGGGGTGACAGCGACTTAAGCAGTATAAGATCAAAAGATCTTACATATTTTGAAATATATACTAGAAAATTCATATCCCATAAAAGCAATTTTCAGTTATGCAATCCACTGATTAGATTGTTATTGCAACAGGAAGACGCTTTGAAATCTGAAAGTGTTTTCAAGTGCTGATTTGCAAAGATTTCATTGGTCCCAACTGACATCGTAAACTGATATCCACTGGAGAACCATTAGAAGCTAGAAAGTACTGGAGACAGCTGTTTCAAATTAGCTGTGGACTCCATATCAGTACTCATCGATGACCGGTGACCGAACCTAGGTCCTTAGGGGTAAGCCCGATGACCATTCAGTCACACTAGGGCGTAATCCAATAGCCCATGAATTCTAACTTCTGCTAGTTCACAATATATACTCACTCACCATTGAAATTAGTTGGTTGTGATTTTATATAACGCGAATCCAAGTACTATCAGATCTCATGAATTAGTAGGTGAAAAAAAAGTTGTATTGAACGAGACTTCTTAGGTCGTCAAGGAGAGAAGGAGAAGTTACTGAGATTGTGATTTGGGTTTTTTGTATTCTGCGGTGACTGAATTTCCAAACTCTTTCTTTCTTTGATAAGAGACTTTCGTTTTTTGGTGGATGAAGAATTATTGTGGTGGTGTTGATGAAGACAACATGTTCCAACAGAATATTATTCTCACATATTCCCACAGATCAATACTGCATTAGAAACAGAATAATTGAACATTGTGTTTCATATTGTTTAATGTATACCAAAATCACAAGTTCAGTGATTGGTTAAAGAATGTACCGACACTTGAAAATATAACAGTAATTTTGTAGCACATTCTGTTCGTTGAAGCTGACTAATTGTCACTTGTTAAATGAATTCATATTACTAATTGATATTTTATTGGTTGCCCACATTCAGCGACAAGGCTGTGAAGTGGAATGATGCAATACTATAATGCTGTAATTGTTGTTCTATGTGTAAATATTACTTAGCAAGATAATACCTATGTAACTCACCCAACTTGCTGACAAGGATACGATGGCGAAGGTTTGTAGTTCAGGTGGATGACATTGGTGTAGTTGTGTTCTCCGAGCTGGATGTTTTAGTTGTAAGGCTTTCATTGTCTTCCCAGACAGCATATTCAGTGGAGACTTCAATATAAAGTCAATGCCTAGAATTTTCCACCAGTCTATCAGCCACTAGGGTCAACAAAATAACAAATACAAATTCAAATAACGAAAATAATATAGAATTCAAGGCCCCTGTAGTACTGCTGTATAAAGAACGAACGTCAGAAGCCTTGCGTAGAATTCTCAATGAAGCTGGAATTAGGTTGGTATTTAAGCCAATCATCCAACTCTCTCAGAGACTAAATTTCTCGACTTAAGGACCTAATAGATCCACTGGAGAGAAATAATATAATTTACCGAATACCATCCTGAGATGACTGTGAGGTCAATTACTTAGATCAGACTAGTAGATCAGGATAAATTAGATTATTGGAACATAAAAATTTAGCTAGACCTAGAACGGCTGACCCTGGTAAGCT